CACACACACACACACACACACACACACACACTCGCACACACACACACACACACACAAACACACGCGCGCGTGCGTGTGCACACAACACACATATATACACACGCGCACACACACACACACACACACACACTCACACACACACACACACACACACACACACACACACACACAAAACACACACACACACACACATACAGACCGTTTTTCCGTGGAGGCACGTGGAATGCCTACCACATTGAGTTCGAATTCCTGCCACCACTGCTGCAAGGGCATTACAAAAAGATGTGTGCCCCTCGTGAGGGCATTTCCAGGACCGACCGACGAAATGCGACCAGCGGTCCAATAAGGGCATATCGGAAAGTGACGCCCCATGCTGACAGGGGCCTGCGGAAAATTTCAGAGGCCCGAGGGGCACCACAGGGTATTTCGGCCTTTACAGGGGCACATCGCAAATAAATGCAAACTTTGGGGGCATTTCAAAATTTTCCCCTAATAATAATAATAATAATAATAATAATAATAATAATAGTAGTAATAATAATAACAATAATAATAATAATCATAATAATAATAATAATTAATTAAAATACATATATATATTGGCACTTTGGCTAAGATCAAGTGTAGTATCTGGGGCCTGGACCACTTCGTCCGATTTAGGGCCTCGCCACACCACTCTTGAAAACTCATTTTCAACAGTTGCTGCATCGCCACACAACCTCTTGACACTTGGGGCAGTCAAGAGCTCTCAGAGTGACAACCTCTTGAAACCCTTTCAAGAGCAGCTCTCGAAAGATTGGAAACCCCTGCATGCAACTCGTGCGATTTCAAGCGTCCTTGTCCGAACCCTCGAGGAACTTTCAATTTTCAAGAGTTGTCAGGCCGTTATGCTGACGCCATGCCAAAAAAACAAAGTTGTATGACTGTCGTTTTTCATTCTGTGTCGAGCAGCATCTCCCTTTGGAGAGTGCTGTGTGGAGAGAGACCGCAAACTCTTGAAAACCCAACTCTTGAGAACGTCTGACAACTCTTGACATATTTCCCTGCTTCAAGAGTGTTGTGTGGCCTCGCCGCACCACTGTTCAAAATGCGATTTTTGACAGTTCCTGTTCGCCACAGAGGCTGTCTAAGGCTGGGACCCCACAGGAATGCGGAAAGGAAAAACTTTGTCGCGGAAGTGTTTTCCGGGACCCCACAGCCTGCCTATAAGGCTGGGACCCCACAGGAATGCGATCAAGAAAAACTTTGCCGCGGAAGTGTTTCTGGGACCCCACAGCCTGCGTATAATGCATTGGAAAGCGGCGAATTCTTTCCAAGGACCGTCTTTCGGGACCCCCCAGGCCTCGTTTTTTGGCGTGGTAGGTAGCAGTTGGACTTTTTCACTTCGTCTGAGTCCTGGAAAAGGCTGTGCCGAAAGCTGAGACTTGCCTTGGGGGCTGTCTCGCACTTTTCCAAGGTCTGGTCCGTTGTTTTGGACCGCGTAATGTCCATGCGTGCCCCCCACGGACATTGCTGCGGCCGGGCAGTCGTGAAGGGAAGTGTCGCACGGTTTTCGTCGGTCCAGCGGACGCCTCCTGGACAATAAAAACTTTTCCTTGTCGGCCACCCCCACGGCCCTTTCCTATTAAGAAACATCGCAACTTTGCTGCGAAATGGCCTCCGCGGTGGGAACTCGGAAAAAATGAGTTTCCAGCTTTTCAAAAACTCTTGCCCTCTCTTTGCGGCCGACCGGTTTTTCCATCCGCACCGCAGTGGGGTCCCAACCTAAGTCGGAGACGAGAAAAAATTTGCAAGTTGTCATGAATGCTTCTCAACACCTCCTGTCGAAAGTCGTTGAATCTCGTTCCTGCCTTTATGATGCTTTCGACATTCCTCGACTGCACCGTCGGCTTCGCTTCGAAATTTGGTGAGTGGGGGTAAGGTCGGGATGGATTGATGCTTGTCGTAGCCTTAGGCGAGTTCTTCTTTTTCCATCTTACTTTCACAAGTGCGTGCACTCTACAGTGATGTGTGGCGAACGGGGGGCAAACTGTCGAATGGAGGTTGTCGAATTTGTTCTGACAGCCGCCATGTGGTGTGGCGAGACCCTTGTCCTTGTGCTCCTCCGTTTTCGATTACGTGCGGTCGTCTGTGACATCCGTTAGTCGTTGATCCAGTAGCATATTGACTGCTAGTGTGGCTTGTCTTTGTTTTCGTGGAGGCATCTGCCCATCGGCAAGTACAATTTTTAAAAAAAAGGTAACTAGGGCGCAGTCACACAAGTAGTTCGTAATTGCATTTGAAACTGTGTCTAAGGAGTTTAGTAAGGGCCCGAGTTTCAATTGCAGTTGAAACTCGGGCCGCCTTTAGGTAGCAGTTCAGTCAGGCCCTCCTCCATGCACGAACAATAGTTACCTTTTTCTTTTTTTTTTTAACAAAAAAAAATCATTTATTATAAAACCAGGAAACGGGTCCGGCGTCCCTCACATGAATTCCGTAGCCAATCCAGGCCGGGCGAGGCACTTCCGGCCAGTCCCATCCCCAACCACAGGGCTCCCACAGTGAAAACGCCTGTCTTCAGCCCATCCCGTGCAGAATTGTAGTTGCAAAGCCTCATCTATGTTAATACTTAGAATTTGATCCAATTTCAATGTATCGATTAATTCTATGTTATCAAAAACAATCACACAAATTTCTAACCTATTCCCTGATACAATTACCATAATAATCCCTAACTCTAAATTATTTGCAAAACAGAAACTGTAATCATGACTAATACTCAACACAAAATAAATTCCCAATTAAGGACTAATTAACCAAAACCTTCAAAAACGTCAAGAAGTGTAAATCACCTAAATATTAAAATCGATTTCGAGCAAAACAAATTTCCAATAAGTCGAACGTTCCACTTTCTCTGATCCAAGAGCCAAAGGGAATTTCAGTCAAAAGACGACAGAGGGAGGCAAGCCTACTGTGGGCTGCAGCAGAAGTAGATTGTCCAAAATGACATACTTGATGGGGGCCAACATCAAGACTACCATTCTGGATAATCTCTAGGATTTCAATAATTTGTTGTTCGTGACATACAGTTATCTGCAATCAAGTCAATGGCTGACGAAATTATCATAATCGAGCACAATCTACCGTCTATCATCTGTACAACGCACAACGCATAACATCACGCAAACTCCTGACCTATTCCTTGATATAACTACCGTAATCGTCCCTTACCCTAAGTTATCTCTAAAACATAAACCGTAATCATAACTAATACTCAACACAAAATGAAATAATAAAAACCTAAAAAAGTCAAGAAGTGTAAATCACCTCAAAAAATTACACCCAATTTCAAGCAAAGCAAATTTCCAATAGGTCAGATGTCCCACTTTCTTCGATCCAACAACCAAACGAAATTTCAGTGAAAAGACGACAGAGGGAGGCAAGCCTGCTGTGGGCTGCAGCAGAAGAAGAGTGTTCAAAATGACATGCTTGATGGGGGGCAACATCAAGCCTGTCATTCTGGATGATCTCCAGGATATCATCCGATTATAAATGGCAGGTCCATCCCTAACCTAAAACTAAAAAACGTCAAAAAGCGTAAATCGCTTAAAAAATTAAACCCAATTTCTCTAATGGCACAACTGTGTGCATGTGGCGGATTATGGAGTGGCAGTCGTAGCAGATCAATCATGAGGTGGAGAGCAAGAGATTCCACCTGGTGGCACAATAGTACTCCTCACCTTCGTGCAGTAACAAAAAACACGTGGCACCGACAACCTATAGAGTATTACACATGGAAAGTCGATCCCGAAGAGCATATCGCAAGCCAACCACAAAGAACAGATGATTGCACCCAATGGCACGACAATATTCTTGTCACTCTCTTTCATCATCGACCGTAGGAAAAGGCACTAGCAAATCCAACACTTCAACCAATCAGCGCCATACAGGCACGACAAACACCACTTTATGCTCGCAGGTAACAGATATATCCTCATACTCCAAGGAGATAAACACTCCAACGAAAGCCGGCAGCATGATAAACGCCATGTCTGACCCTTGATAACTCCCAGATTCTTTGCAATTGCCCACTTCAAAATCTTCAGGCACAAGAAGCTAATACATCAGCAAATCAAGGCCACACAAGCATGATGTATATCTTCTTCATAAATCCGTCTTCTTGGCAATCAACAACAAACCGCTCTTCACCTCGATGGAGTGAACATCCGTCCACTAACAGCGGCACATGTAGCGGACCTGTGGTTGGCCTGTGAGACCAGCCCCTTCGCCTGTTCTCACAGGCCTGTGTTTTATTCGGGGCAATCCGGTCGAGGCCGGTACCTCTGTCGGTACAAGCCAGTCCAGTTCAGTCCCGTCAGTCCGCTGGGATACACCCCAGTTGTTGTCTGTTTTCGGTCTCATTCTGCATTTGCACAGTTTGGAGAATGTGCGTTGGAGTCTGGCATGGGAGCTGCGCTGTGCCATCTCGCTCCCCTTCTTCCTCCATCTTCATCTCTATCCGTGGCGGAGCACCACACCTGGTGGGTCCGCCACACTGGTATCGGAGCGGGAACGTTCCCCGCTCCCACCCACCACCCCTTACAGCTGGGACAATAGCAAAACCCGCTGGCTGTTTTCAGACCCTTTTTCAACGAAAACGAGGAAAAAAAAAAAAAGAAGTTGCAGTAGGAAGTGACACGTGGCAGAAAAAAGCACATGCCACCACGAGCGCGTGCGCACAAGCGACGAGGCCAAGGCCGCCGCACGCGCGCGCGCGCCACGCACCCTCGCTGCCCCGTTGCCCCGCCCCGTCCCGCTCCCGAATTTATATTATCAAGATCTGGGATCTTGCTGCCACTGGGGTTTGAACCCAGGCACCTGTTGGGCTCGCTCGTGCGTAAGCTACTCCTGTAGCACACTCGTCGTACTGCATGTATGGCTATGTAGTGTGGCATGCTGATGTTGAAGAGGTGCGTGCCAGCTATTTACCTCCCCTCTCCCCCCCCCCCCGGTGGCTGCTGCTGCCTGCGCATATGGCCATCTGCATTGCCACGTGACAGCCTGCTGTGGAGACTGAAGACCCCTGTGGCTAGGGGGCTGCGCCACAATCTTTTTTTTACTATTTTTCTACTGCTGCAGCAGCAGTTTTGCAGCAGCTCAAGACTCTCCCCTAGCTAGGGGGCTGTGTGACTGTGGCAGTAGGGTGGCTGATCAAGATCTCAGCCAACCCTAGATCATCATCATCATCATCTCTTATTGTTGTGGCATCAGACCAGCAACACCTTGAAGCCCAAGATCCGTGGATCTTGGTAGTGTTTTGTTCTTGGCCAACCAAGAGCCTGGTATTATCTTTCTCCTCTAATCTACCCTCCCCCAACCCTTTTTCTCTCTCCCCCCATCATCTAATCATCCTTTCCAACTTTACCACTACCCCCCTTCCTCCCACCTCCCTCTTCACTCATCTCCCACCACCTTTTCCTCTCCTCTCCTCCCCACTCACCATCTTCTACTAATCTCATCTCCCCCATCTTCCACTTCACTAATCCTTTCTCTCTCACCTATTTCTATTTTCTTCATCACTCTTTCATCCCCTTACCCCCCCT